GTCCCCTTTGTATGTTTTTTTCTGTCTTTTTCTAAAGCCTTCCTAAAAAATATGCTTGAAAAATGATACGCACATCTCTCACTGACAGTGTGCAGAGAGAGACACGCTGTGAAAAGATAAATATGTGACTGTCTAGCAAAAGCCTTTCTCTTCACTTTTCTTTAAGAATCTAACGATGCTTCTTCAGATTTCTTTTGTCATTTAACTTTAAAAAAGAAATCCCCTATTTAAGCCAAAGTATTACAACTTATTTCCTTCTTTTTCTTTCAACCTGTTCTATCGACCATTAAATCAATGAATATCACTAAATAATTTCTGGGGCAAGTTATTGATTATGAGCTGAGAAGAAAGATAAATATTAGCTAAATATCCTGTCCTTGTCAAGGGATTTAATTTGATTATACAGTCTTATCCTCATGTGTACACACAAAGCTTATTTCTGATAACCCAGTCGGCTAAGATCTCTTTGTAATTTTTTGAACTGCATATTGAAAGGATCATTTTCACTTCAACCTCTTTTATGGCTTTTAATTATTGGAATGATAATGATAAAGATATGAGTTCAACTTCTTTATCCTCTGAAGTACATCTGATTTACAAAAATAGTTTTGACTTGGAAACCTCACCTAAAACAATCAACTATGCTGTTTAAAGTGCCTTACAGGTGACTGACTGATGCAGATAATAAGTACAAATGCAAAGTGATACAATGTGTGCCCTCGAGAAATCCCAAATACAATAGCTATTGCAAATAATCTATAAATAATTCTGTTGACTTCAGAATGCTTACAATGTGCTGTAAATAACTTCTGAAGCTTTTGTGGCATAAACATATGTATGTGTACAGAACCTACATTGTTCATTGTTTTCTACCTTAAAGAGGCCCTATTGTGCTTTTTGCAGTTTTCCCTTTCCTGTAGTGTGTTAGATTTGTGTGTGTGTGTATGTAAATGGTCTGCAAAGGCCTAAATCCCAATGTTCCCTCCTGAAGGATTTTCTAGAGACATAATATATCCTCTTTAAAATAGTTTATTTGTCTTATGCAGTTCTAAGTGTCTATGCCATGAAACTATGTATTAAAAATGTGTTAACTGATTCTAATTTTCATTTGTAAAAACATATTTCAATGTTTACTCATGCTTGCATGCAGATACAAATAGCACAAATCCTGATAGACCATGTCTGTACAAACAGATACACAAGCCATCATTATAATAATCAATTAATCATGAGGACAGGCTGGCCCAGGTCACCAATGTCTGCCAAGGCAGAGTGAGAAGATGATTAATTAAGTCTCAGTTGGTACATAAACAAAGATATGGAAAAAAGAGACCACAGCAGCCATGATGGCAAATTGATGTTTTGCGTGGTGACAAAAGCAGCTGGGACAAATCTGATTTTTCATCCTCCCAGGTCAGAAGCTGTAATATGTATGCCTTAACCTGGAGGAGAAGCACACACACACACACACACACACACACACACACACACACACACACACACACAATTATGGTTTTGCCGTTTGGAACACGGGATTGCTTATTGAAGTGGAACATGGTGCTTGAGTGTTTGCTGCAGGTTTACTTCACTCAAAATGTAAATTGAGATGGAATTCATGCAGAACCATCATACTTGATCAGGTCTGAAAACAATCTTTAAGTTTGCAAACTGAACCAGTCTTTCTAATTGATTTAGAGACCCTTGTTTGTATATTGTATTAAATACATGTTTCTGATATGTTTTTTCTATATAAAAAGTTACCAAATTAGGCTTAATTCCCCATTGAAAGACCGTTCAAGTAGGTTCAGTGCAGCCAAGATAATTCCCTCTGTGGTGACTGAAGTGGCTTTCATTCTCTGACCCTTTATAGTCTTGATTTCCCTGCTGGAGATGGGTTGAGAGCAGGTTGTTAAAGCGTCCAGCAGCCTGTCCCGCTCACTGCTCTTCCAGCTCGGGTGCATCAAGAGAGCAGCAGATGTTTGTCTAGATTACAGCTGCATTACATTGTTGGAGCAGCTTTCCTCTTTACCTCGAGGCACTTGTTCGGTTCTGTAACCAGAAGATTAGAAGTGGTCACCAGTTTGCATGAAAACACTTGAGACAAACATGACAAAATACAAAAGAAAACATGCCTGAAGCTAAGAACTTTCATATTTCCTGTTTGTGTCATTGTGTTATTATCTGGAGAACCTCATGTGTCAGAGGAGAGATGGAATTGTTTGTTTTTTCATTCTCTTAATTGTCCGTAAATGTCAGCTGGGATAAAAAGGTGTTCTCGATAAATGAAATTCCCCTTGTCTTTTTTCAATATCTCACAGATATTAAAAGGGCCCCAGGTCATTCACACAGACATGCCTTGCTTACTGACCTTTATTGGATCACTTCTGTTATATCCGGAGTCACTACTGGGATTTAAGAGTGTGAATCATGACGCTTCTTTTTATGATAGATATGTTTGGGCTGTCCTCTAGAACCCAAGTCTGCAGCTATTTTTGGTCAATACACAGCAATTTAATAAAGTCAGATCACCTTGTCCATCACAGAAAAACGGGCGCCCATGAGCATTAAGACAAAGATCACTCCTCCAGAATAGATGATCTTTAAAGAGGGTTTCTTACAAACAAAACAATGTTAAAGTAGAAGGTTTATCTTTTCAGATTGTACGTACTTCTATGTTTGTATAACTTATATATTTTTAATGAAAAGATGTATCTGTCAGGGTTTGAGTTTTTGTGTGTCTAGTTTTGGGGTTATTTTGCTGTTCTGTCCTCCCTGTCGTTAGTGTCCCTGGTGTGTCTGATTGTGTTCACCTGTTGCTCTTGTGTTTCTCCTCCCCTGCCCGGCTGTTTCTCGTCTCGTGATTACCCCTCCTTGTATTTAGTCTCTTCCTGTGTTCAGTGTTGGTTCATTATTTGTCGTTCATGTCCCCCTTCATGTTGGTCACAGTCACCTTTGTTTGGATGCTACCTCGTACCTGTTTGTGGATTCTTGTTTTGCCTCGTGCCTCGTACCTGTTCATGGATTCTTGTTTTGTTCAGCTTTTGGGAAATAAAGCTCGCCTTTTGTTTCCTTTTGAAACCTGCTTCCTCCTCATTCTGCATTTGGGTCCTATTTTTCCCCACCCCTGACAGTATCACCTCTATTCTATCACCTAAACATTGGTAATAGGCTAGTCATTTCACCAGGAAATTCAAATCATGCCAGAAAAATGTGTTTGGAAATGGGATAAAACTGTTTTAAGCCTCTTTGGGAAATCAATACTTCACTGATTCATTTGTTTTATTCCACACTTCCCAATCTTCGCTGCAGTTGATCAACAAGTTGGTTAAAACTTTCAAAACAGGTCCAATTCATAATTGTACCATAACAACAAATGTTGAAATTAATGTTATGCTGGTTATAAGAGCTTTGTGACAACTGAAATGTATTGCAAACATAAGTTAGCATTTATGTGGACACCAGTAACCCAGAAACACAAGTTTAGTTATTCCTAGTGCATGTTAGCGTCATAAACTGGTTATAAAGACATGAGGAAATCACAACAGAAATATGCTAGCTGGAGCACTCACACACTGACATACCAGAAAACCAGAACTTAAATACATGCAAAACTAATCACAAGGAGGAGACACAGCAGGGCAGGCAGGAAAAACCCAAGGGCACAGGAAACACAGTCAGATGGTGACATATACTGTATATTTACATATATATTTACAGGTCTAATCCTTAGCTCAAATGACAAATTAGCTTAGTTTGTAGAACTAAACAACTGATAGTACACCATATTTCCACACAGTGAAATTACGGTGAAAGTCCAACACTGGCAAAGTTGAGGTCAACTGTGTTGTGCTGTCTTCCGCTGCACAACGGTGACAGAGGCTTAGGTGGGAGTGGTTCAACACCTGCAGGCAGACAGAACCTGAACAATGTAATATCTGCAGAGAGCTACAGTAAATCACTTTTTTTCCCATTTAAAATGAAAAAATGTAACCACTGAAAAATAATGTGCATGTCAGAAAGTGTGTTGTATTGTGTACTACATCAAACAGCTGAGCCATTGCCAACTAGTCTGGTTGAAGTATGCAGTGTGATGGTGACGTAAACACATGGGTTGGATTTTAATTAAAGGTACAGTAACTGACCCATCATCAACCATGTTATAAAGCCATTGCTACCTGAAGATATAGTAAATGCCTTAGGCTTAACAGGTTAATAACAGAGCATTGTATTTTTGTCACGCAACTTCCTCATACAGTAGTTGACGACTCATTGCTGCCCTGCTTTAGGAGTTTGTTATCTACAGGTAAGAGAATACTTTTCTTTTTTAAACACTCCTCAGTGAAACTAGTGCTGTTCTGATATAATGCAACATTAAGAAAGAAGAGTAAATTAATGACTAAATCCTGATATTAAAATGTTGTTGAAAGTGTTTTAAATAGGCGAAGTTTCGTATATGCTGTGTGGTCGTTTTTAAGGCTGTTGATGGTACTACTGAATTTAACTGTGTTTGTCTTCCCTTGTCGACAATGTGACGTGTCACAGGGTGCATGGACGAGACAGTCATGATCAGTTTAAGTAATCTTATGGTAAACTCATACAATGGATTATAGACAAAGGCAGCAAGGGGGGTATTTGTAGGAGTAGCATTGTTTTCAGGATGTTTACTTGACATACTGGACTATGAGCAATGGCTGGTCAGTACTTGTGATCTATAATGTGTCAGATTAGCACCAATACAAACACTCATAACATGTATGTAAAAGCATTTTTTGGGATCCTGTTTATCAAAGAAGTAAGTAGGTAATTTACTGAATTGATTTTCACTACAAAATTCTAAACACTTAAAAATATCTAAATTAAACACTTTCAGAGACATGTTCAGACATCATTTACTCGTGATGATGTTGCGTACAACCCATGTGATAACAATTTCAAATGAATGTCTCTTCAATACCTTTTGGGGATAATATCTAATAAAACCTCTGCCTTCTCTTTAGAAAATGGATCTGATTCAATCACCTGAGACTGCAGACATTCAGCCACTGACTCCCTCTGTCCCTGTTCCTCCCACCCTGAGAGATGGAGAGTGTTACCATGTCTTCATTAGCTACAGCAGCACTGACTACCAGTGGACCCACCGCCTCATCGACCAGCTGGAGGCCTGCGGCCTGCAGGTCTGCTACCATGATCGAGACTTCCTTCCCGGCCGCACCGTGTTGGAAAACATGTCCGACTGCATCCAGGAGAGCCAGAAGGTCCTGCTGGTTCTCAGCCCAGAGTTTGTGAGGAGCCGCTGGTGTCTCCTGGAGGCCAACATGTCTTTGTTCAGAGACTGCCTGGAGAGGAAGCCCATCGTCCCAGTGCTGCTGGAGCCAGGAGTCTCCGTTCCTCTCCACCTCTGCCACCTCACCTACCTGGAGGCCAACGACCCCGACTTCAAGAATAAGCTGCTCAAGGTGCTCTGCACCCCCAACCAGCAGCTTCAAGGGTCCACCGTGCTGCCCTTCCATCCTCCCTCCATCTACAACGGGAAGGCCCTGCAGCCGTTGGATGCTGTGAATGAAGAGAGTCTCAGTAAATGGGATTGTGGTCAGTTCAGTGACATGGAGGTACCAGACCAGCTGCGCCTGATCATCGAGGACCAAGAGAAGTACAGAAAGGCTGTGAGGACGATCAACAGTGTGTCTCAAAATAAAGTATGGTTCCGCCCCGTTTGGGTTAGAGTATTGATTTACATTATTGGCATAATATTTTTTTCCTTTTTGGTTACATGCAATGTATTTTCAATGAGTGTATTAGGAGACTATTCAAAGGGATTCACAGACTCTGTTGTATTTGTGCTTTTTATTTTGAGCATTTACTTGGTTCCATTGGGATTGATTATTCATATCTGTCTCTGGAAGAATGATGATGAAAAGTACATAGTGAGGGAAATGAAAAAAGCTATTGGCCAGGCAAACATCATCCTCTCTGAGGAGAAAGTGCTAATGGGCCGTCGGTCCAACTCAAAAATCTCTCTGGTGTATGTTTCTCTGGACCGTTGCAAACATGAGTTTGCAGAAACGTTTTCCGATCAGGTTTGTGCTGAAGATTTGTATCAAAGAGCTCTGCTGCACTTCTCATCAGGTTACGCCTGCTGCGTTGCTAAAAGACACTTCCCCTTTCCTCAGCCCAGCTCCACCGGTCACCTGGAGGGAGGGGTGTGTTTCTGTCAGTATGTGTCCCAGCAGCTGAGTGTGGACCAATGGGAGTAGCAGTGTCCACATGTGGGACCTAACTATTCCATAATAACTGGATCATCATGAAATGTCTGCATTAGTATAAAAGCCACTTAGTCCCACTGAAGGCACAGCGACTGTATTCATGTTAGCCCTCAGATATCAGAATGAGTCTCTTTCACAAACCTTCACCTGCTTCACAAAAGCAGAACTGTGAACAGGATGTTTCTCATCTCTTACTTCCTGACTTTACTTTCAGTTCTTTGCCATCCGCACCATGCGATCTCTCTTCATTGTAATTGCTGGAATTAAGGTTGTCTAAAACAGGTACGAAAATGCTTTGTTTTGCGAATATTGTTGTTATTGTGTGAATTTAGTTCTGATACTTAAAGTGAGCTTCATCATTCCTTTGTTTTTAGAAACATCAATCGAGGTATGAAAGCTTCTGTGTCCTCAAGCTATCTTTTGGGTGAATCCCCTTCCTGATTGACGTGTTCTTCTGTTATTTCCAATGTGTATGTTTCTTTATATCTTGAATGTTTAAAACTCTGAGAAACAGTGTCTCTGAAAATAAAGTTCTCCCTTTCTGCGCTGCAGTTATGATGTTCATTTCTGTTGGAATAATACTTCTTCCTTTGTTTGCTCTATCAACATATATGATAGTTGTTTTTTTTGGTGATGAAAGCTTAAAGAACAAAACTCTTTGGGCGTTCATTTTTTGTAGTTTGTATTGTTTATTCTTTGGGACATTGACTCAGCTTTGTCTCTGGGGAAAGGACCAAGGGAAGCACATAGTCCGGGAGATGCAGAAAGCTTTGGGCCAGGCAAACATCATCTCTGAGGAGAAGGTGTTAATGGGCTCTCAGTCAAATTAAAAAATCTATCTGGTGTATGTTTCTCTGGACCGCTGCAAACATGAGTTTGCAGAAACGCTTTCTGATCAGGTTTATCCTGAAGATTTGTATCAAAGAGCTCTGCTGTACTTCTCATCAGGTTACGCCTGCTGCCTTGCTAAAAGCACTTCCCCTTCTCAGCCCAGCTCCACCGGTCACCTGGAGGGAAGGGGTGTGTTTTCTGTCAGTATGTGTCCGCAGCAAGCTGAGTGTGGACCTAATGGGAGAGCAGTTCCAGCATAGATCCCAGACTGTATAATGAGATTACAAAAGGCTGA